AAAAAAAAAAAAAAAAAAGAGCATCTTAGAATTTATAAAAATACAAAATAATTTTTTTCTAAAGATAAAACTGCCAGATGTTCCTGAGATTAAACAGATTTACTGTAATATATTCAATTTTTAATACCCACTAGCTCCAATTTGCTAATATTTTCCAAGTTTATGAGTGAAAATGATTGTCATTTTTATTTTTGTACTGTCACTGTCAGATTTTGGCAATGAGCTTTATGCTTTATTTTGTATAAAATTGGAATTCAAAGAAAAACTGGATGTTTAGCAAAACTCATCAATAAAACTCTTTATATGTGGTGCTTTATTTGTGGGGAAGAGTTTTGACGATTTTTAAACATTATTATCGGTACATAATAGTTGTATATCTTTATCGGGTGCATATGATGTTTTGATACATGCATATAATGTGAATTAATCAAATCAAGGTGATTGGAGTATCCATCACTGCAGGCATTTATCATTTCTTTGTTAGGTACCTTCTAATTCCACTCTTTCGGTTATTTTAAAGTATACCCTAACTTATTGTTGATTATAGTCACTTGGTTGTGCTATCAAATATTGTTCATTCTATCTAACTATATTTTTGCACCCATTAACTATCCTCACTTTATCCTCCCCTCCCCTTCTCAGCCTCTGGTAATCATCACTCTACTTTCTGTCTCCATGAGATCGTTTTTAATATTTAGCTTCCATATATGAGTGAGAACATGTGGTATTTGTCTTTCTGTGCTTGCCTTCTTTCACTTAACATGATGTTTTCCACTTCCATTCCTGTTGTTGCAAATCCAGGATTTCATTCTTTTTTGTGGCTACATAATAATATTCCATTGTGTATATGTATCACAGTTTCTTTATCCATTCACCTGTTGATGGACACTTAGGTTAATTCCAAATCTTGACTATTGTGAATAATGTTGTAATGAACATGGGAGTGCAGATATCTTTTAAATATACTGAATACCCCTCTTTTGGATATATATACAGTGAGATTGCTGGGTGATATGGTACTTCTAGTTTTAGTTTTGTTTTTTTCTTGAAACAGATTCTCGCTCTGTTGCTCCAGCTAGAGTGCAATGGCATCATCATAGCTCACTGCAACCTCAAATTCCTGGGCTCCAGCAATCCTACTGCCTCAGCCTCCGGAGTAGCTGGGACTACAGGCATGTGCCACCATGCCCAACTAATTTTTCTAGTTTTTTGTGGAGACAGGGTCTCGTGCTTGTTTAGGCTGGTCTCAGACTCCTGAGCTCAAGTGATTCTCCCACCTTAGCACTCTGCCATAGTGCTGAGATTACAGGCATAAACCACCACACCTGACCTCTAGTTTTAGTTTTTTGAGGAACCTCTATATTATTTTCCAGAGTGGCTGCACTAATTTACATTCTTATCAATAATGTATGATGGTTCTCCTTTTTTCACATCCTTGCCATCAATTGTTATTGCCTTTTCGATAAAAGCTATTTTAACTGGAGTGGGATGGTATCTCATTGCAGTTTTGATTTGCATTTCTCTGATGACTAAAGATGTTGAGCATTTTTTTCATATACCTGTTGGCCATTTATATGTCTTCTTTTGAGAAATGTCTATTCAGATCTTTTGCCCATTTTTTTAATTGGATTATTTGATTTTTTCCTATTGAGTTGTTGGAGTTCCTTATATAGTCTAGTTA